GCTGCTGCTGCTGCTGCTGCTGCTGCTGCTGCTGCTGCTGCTGCTGCTGCTGCTGCTGCTGCTGCTGTCTGTCGCATGCTGCTGGCTTCTGCCGCTCACTCCCGTGGCCAGGGCTGCTCATGGCTGCTGCGAGCTGCGATCCTGCCTGGGCCTGGGACGGCACGCGTGCTCCGGCGGGCCGTGTTGGGGGCATCTTGGGGGCCTGGGGGGCCCTGTTGGGGCCGTCCTGGGTCGCTGGGGCGTCCTCTTGGACCGCTGGGGCGCCTCCCCGGGGGGCCGCCTCGGGCCGTCTTGGGGCCCTCCGGCCCGGGAGCGCCGTGGCGCTGCGCGGGGGGTCTCTCGCCTGGGTCCGCCTGGGAAGCGTCCTGGCGCACCGCGGAGCCTTCTGGGAGCCATCTCGCGCCGTGCGAGGCCCCGCTGAGGCGGCGCGCCGGAGGGAGGAGCGGAGGAGCCGGGGAGCGCTCCAGAAGGCGACTGAGTCAACCACCCCTGGGCAAGCGGAGGAGGAGGAGGAGGAGGAGGAGGAGGAGGAGGAGGAGGAGGAGGAGGAGGAGGAGTTGGAGTTGGAGCTCTCCAGAAGGCGACTGAGTCAACCACCCCTGGGCAAGCGGAGAAGGAGGAGGAGGAGGAGGAGGAGGAGGAGGAGGAGGAGGAGGAGGATTACAGGATTACAGTCATAGTGACGCCAGCCAGTTTCCCGCCAGCGCCCTGCGCTCCAGGGCCCACGGCCTGGCCACTGAGGCCAGCCTCCCAGGACCCAAAACAACATTAGAAAGGCACCTTCGGGACAGGATGTTTGCCCTCCAGGATGAAATCAAGGGCAGCCCTGGCCCCGTTGGCCATCTTCAAAGGCTGCCTGCAGACTCCTTTCAAAAGGGGCCCGATCCGTTGGCTCGAGGAGGAGCCACAATTCAGACAAAACAAAAAGGGCCCCTTCGTTTGCATTCGATGTCCACGGGCCGTGAAACTAGCAAGCGGATCGTCATCCCTGGCCCCTGAAGCGGTCCCACCAGACGACGACGCCCCAGGGCACACGGGCGGCCCCGAACCTTCACACACAGCCGAAGCCGCCGCAAGCGCCACTCGGACCGCCTCAGGAGGACCCATCGGGGACGCTTCCGAAAACCTACCCCCAGGAGAGAAGGCGAGGCGAGCCAAGGCCTTCTGCGCCTCCGATGGCACGCACCTCCTGCCACTGCCCTGGGTATACAGCCTGGCAGACGCCTGGGTCCTAGCCTGGATTCCACACTTCCGACACACTCGACCGCTAGGACCCAGGGACCAAAACTCATGCTCCAAAAAACTTAACAGCTTGGCATTGTTTGGGGCCACCTGCTTCATGCCTTGATGCGCAGGAGCCACACTCAACTGGCTGTTCACAGCGTCTCTGGCACTTGCAAGCTGAGCCGTCGCCCAGGCGAAGAACTTACACTCCTTCTTCACGCGCCTAAGCTCCTGAGCAAAAGCCTCCACATGCGTGTCCGAGACTGCGTGCGACCGAGCCCCGACTTTAGCGAAGAAATCGGCCCACGAATTGCCGAACTGCCACTCACCCAGACCCCCGACGTCATGATTTTTTCATGACGCGACCCCCAGAGGTCCCGACCCCTTCCCCGGGACCGGTTTTTCGTCCTGAGTCGTTTTTTGACGCTCCCGAGGCCCGGCGAGGGCCCCTGGAGGCCGAAAATAGCGAAAAACCTCCCGTCGTGATTTTTTCACGACGCGAGGAGGTCTGGGACTCAGGGGGCTTGTCGGGGTACGTCAGACAGAACTCCTCTAAATCACGGTGAGCTGGAACCCATTCGAACGCGGGAGGGCCTCGGGACCCCGTGCTCGCGATAATTTTTTTTCCGCCAGGTCGACGCGTGGGTCCCTCGGGCCATGGACAGGAGGAGGGGGAGGAGGAGGAGGAGGAGGAGGAGGAGGAGGAGGAGGAGAGGAGGAGGGAGGAGGTAGGAGAGAGGAGGAGGAAGGAGATAGAGAGGAGGAGGAGGAGGTGAGTGAAGGGGGGAGGGGGAGCGGAGGAGGAGTGAGGAGGGAGGGTAAGGGAGGAGGGAGGAGGAGGAGATGAGGAGGAGGAGGAGGAGAGGAGAGAGGAGGAGAGGAAGGGAGGAGAAGGAGGAGGAGGAGACGGAGGAGAGGAGGAGGAGGAGGAGGACGAGGAGGAGGGGGAAGGGGAGAGAGGGGAGGAGGAAGAGATGAGAGGGAGGAGGAGATGAGGAGGGGAGGAGAGGAGGAGGAGGAGGAGAGAGGAGAGGAGGAGGGAGGAGGAGGACGGAGGGAGGAGGAGGAGGAGGAGGAGGAGAGGAGGAGAGGAGGAGGAGGAGGAGGAGAGGAGGAGGAGGAGACGAGTAGGAGGGAGGAGCGGGGGAGCCCGGGAGCGCTCGAGGACCCGCAGGGCCAGGCGGTCCGGCACGCCCGCCGCCCCTCGAGGAACCGCCGCTCGGGGCGTGGAGCCTACGACCAGCTCTGCGCACTCGTTCCGCTCGGCGTGGAGCTTGGCCACCTCGTCGTCGTCGTCGTCGTCGTCGTCGTCGTCGTCGTCGTCGTCGTCGTCGTCGTCGTCGTCGTCGTCGTCGTCGTCGTCGTCGTCGTCGTCGTCGTCGTTCTTGCCGTCATCGCGCCTCTTGGGGGCCTGGGGCGCACTCCTGGAGCCTATGGGCCCCGTGCGCCTCGGAGCAATCAGTGGGCGGCAGACGGCGCCGCCGAGGGCGGGCGAGCAGGAGCGGCAGCACCCCGCGCGCACGACTCCTGCCGGCGCAGGTACCAGCGCCCGAGAAGGGGGTGAGGAGGAGGAGGAGGAGAGCAGGGAGGGGGTAGGAGGAGGAGGAGGAGGAGGAGGAGGAGGAGGAGGGGGAGGAGGAGGAGGCTGAGGAGGAGGAGGAGGAGGAGAGGAGGAGGAGAAGTTGGAGTTTGGAGCTCTCCAGAAGCGACTGAGGCAACCACCCCGGCAAGCGGAGGAGAGGAGGAGGAGGAGAGAGGCGGAGGAGGAGGAGGAGGAGGAGGAGGAGGAGGAGGAGGAGGAGGAGGAGGGAGAGCATGGGAGGAGGAGGAGGTGGTGGAGGAGGAGGAGGAGGAGGAGGAGGAGGATCACGTCGGCCTCCAGCTTCGCCTCCAACATCTCGCTCAGCAGTGCCAAAGCCCGCTGCCACTGCGCGCACTTCTCGCATGCGCTGATCCCGGCGCTGTAGCTGATGCCGTCAGGCTCCAGCGTCGCCCCCAGCATGGCATTCAGCAGTGCCAAAGCCCGCTGCCACTGCGCGCCCTTCTCGCATGCGCTGATTCCAGCGTTGTAGCTGACCAGTGTATACCGGTGGTGTGATCATCGCTATCGACGTTGAGGGGGGCAGTGCTTGCAGGGCGTGCCTCCAGAAGCAAGTGGCGTCACTCCACTTGCTTGTGGGCTCTAATGGAATCCACTTGAAGCCGCTCTGAAAGTCCTCCTGAGGCCTCTTCGGGCCTGCTTGGGCCTACCCCGGGGCTTCAGGCGGGACTTAGGCGGCGCCTGGGAGCGCTCCGAGAGAGCCCCAAGTGGACCCGGAGAGAATCCAAAAGCAAGTGGAGTGACGCCACTTGCTTCTGGGCTATCTTGGAGGGCTTTTGGAGCTCTCTGGGGGTCTCCTCTTGAAGCCTCTCGGGGCCCTCTCGGAGCTACCCTGGGGCTCCAGGGAGAAGTCAGGCGGGCTCTTGAGAGGCTCCAACAGGACCCCAAGTGCACCCCAAGAGAGCCTAAAAAGGAAAAGGCATCACTTCGCTTGCTTCTGGGCTCTCTCGGAATGCACTTCAAGCCGTTTTCGAAGCCTCCTGGTGGTCTCGTGGGGCCTGCTCCTGCCTACCCTGCGGCTTCGGGCAGGACCCAGCCGGTCTCCGGGAGCGCTCGAAGAGCGCCCCAAGTGCCCCGGGTGGGCCCAGAATCCACGAGCAAGTGGCGTCACTCCACATGGTTTTGGGCTCTGTTGGAATCCACTTGAAGCCGCTCTGGAAGTCCTTCTGGGGCCTCTTCGGGCATGCTTGGGCCTTTCTTGGGCCGCGTTGGGGCCTCTGGGGCCATCTTGGGGCCCTTTTGGGGCCACTGCGAGGCCGGCTCGGAACCTTCTGCGGCCGGCTTGGGGGCCTCCGGGACCCTTTGGGCTTCTCGGGGACTTCCCTTACTCCGGGACCGTCTTGGGGCCTTCGTGGAACCGTCTCGGGGCTTTCTTGGGCCATCTTGGGGCGCTCTTGGGAGCCTCTGGGGCCGCCCTGGCACGACCTGGGAGGCCTCTGAGGCCGTCCTGGGCGGCGAAAGCCCGAAAAGGGTAGAACACGAAAAACATAGAAAAACACATGACACCTAATGACTTCGGCCGCTGGGTGGGCTCTGGGGTCCCTCGTGGCCCGTCTTCGGGCTCTCTTGGGCTGTCCTGGGGCCCCCTCTGGCAGTCTTGAGGCCCTCTTGGTGCCCTGCGAAGCCGGCTCGGAACCTTCCGGGGCCGGCTTGGGCCAGCTTGGGGGGGCTGTGGGACCCTTTGGGCCGTCTTGGGGCCGTCCTCTTGGGGCCGTCTGGGAACTGTCTCGGGGCTTTCTTGGGCCGTGTTGGGGCGCTCTGCGGCGCCTCTGGGGCCGCTCTTGCACGATCTGGGAGGCCCCTGAGGGCGTCTTGGGCGGCTGCAGGCGGAAAACATTAGAACACCAAGAGACATAGAAAAGCCATCGAAAGACAATGATTTCGGCTTCCGGAAGCGCCCCCTGGGAGTCTCCCGGGGCGGTCCTGGGGCGTCATATGGGTGCCTCTTGGGCTGTCCGGGGGCCACGTTCGGCCATCTTGCGCCGCCTCCTGCGCTATCGGGGCCTCTCCGAAGGCTGCCGAGGCGGCTCCGAGGGCCCGCTCGGAGCGGCCCGGGCCCCGGGGGGCCCCCTGGAGGGGACCGGTTCAATGCCACCGCTCGCTCTTTTCGCGCGCGCTGCCCACGGTGTTGTGGGATGGATGACGTCGGGCTCCAGCTCGGCCTCCCACATCCCGCTCAGCAGCGCCAGAGCCCGCTGCCACTGCTCGCCCTTCTGACACGCGCTGATCCCAGCGTTGTAGCTGACGGACATGCGGACAACTTACCCAGACCCCCGACGTCGTGAATTTTTCATGACGCGACCCCCAGAAGTCTGGACCCTTTCCCTGGGACCGGTTCTTCGTCCTGAGTCGTTTTTTGACGGCCTCGAGGCCCGGTAAGGGCCCCCAAAGGCTGAAAATGAGGAAAAACCTCCCGTCATGATTTTTTCACAACGCGAGGGGGTCTGGGTACTGGGCATGCAAGGGTGAGGATCTCCCGCCTGCTCGAGCGCTCACGTAGATCCGACGTCGTGATTGTTTCAATGCGGGGTCCTTGGAGGTCTCGACCCATTCCCCAGGACCGGTTCTTCATCCTGAGTCGTTTTTTGACGGTCCCGGGGCCCGGCGAGGGCCTATAGAGGTCGAAAATTACAAAAAACCTGCGCCTTGATTTTTTCAATGCGTTGGATCTCTGGGGCCGCTGGGCGCTGGTGCGGATGCCCGCCGGCGCTGCTGCTGCCTGCCGCTGCGGCCCGCCTGCTGCGGGGGGCGCCGCCTGCTGGCTGTGGCTGCTGCCTCTGCTGCCTGGCGCTGGCTGCGGAGCCGGCTTTGCCGCTGCTTGGAGCATGTGCGGGCAAGACTTATGTCCATATCCAGTGCGCCCTCGACTTTTGTTGGAAGGGGCGCCACAAGGCCGAGGTGCACTGGACATGGACAAAAGTCGTGCCTCCAGGGGGGAGATTCATCCACATCCAGTGCGCCTCGGGCTTCTGGGGAAGGGAGCCCGAAACTCCATACTGCAGTCCCAGACCCCCGACGTCATGAATTTTTCATGACGTCGACCCCCAGCGGTCTGGACCCATCCCCCGGGACCGGTTTTTCGTCCTGAGTCGTTTTTTGACGGTCCCGAGGCCCGGTGAAGGCCCCCAGAGGCCGAAAATAACGAAAACACGTCCCGTCGTGATTTTCTCACAGCGCGAGGAGGTCTGGGGAGCCCGAAACTCCACACTGCAGCGGATCGGGACCAAAGCACTGCTCGCAGCAGGGAGGGCGCCGCGCGCGGGGCCCCCCTTCGGCCGCAGCCTCCCGGCCCGCCGGCGGGCCCGCAGCAGGCGGCCCGCGGCAGGCCCCCCATAAGGGGGCTCTGCGGGAGCCGCTCGGGCCGCCCCGGGGCCTCTCCAGGGCCCTCTTGTGGGGCCCCCCGCGGGCGCTCCGGGGCCGTCCTGGGGCCGCCGTATGGGCTGTCTACCCAGACCCCCTCGCGTCGCGAAAAAAGCACGACGGGAGGCTTTTCGCTATTTTCGGCCTCCGGGGGCCTCGGGACCGTCAACAAACGACTCAGGACGAGAAACCGGTCCCGGGGAATGGGTCGGGACCTCTGGGGGTCGCGTCATGAAAAAATCATGACGTCGGGGGTCTGGGTATGGAGGCGGCGTTCCCAGACCCCCGACGTAATGATTTTTTCATTACGTCGACTCCAGAGTTCTCGACCCCTTCCCCAGGACAGGTTTATCATCCTGAGCCGTTTTTTGACGCTCCCGAAGCCCGGTGAGGGCCCCCAGAGGCCGAAAATGGCGAAAAACCTCCCGTCATGATTTTTTCATTACTCGAGGGGGTCTGGGTTCGGGGCCACCCTGCAGAGCGAGAACGGATCGGCAACTCCGTCGTGGAAGTCGCGTCCGGGCTCTCGTGGAGCCTCGCGCGCCCGGCAGGCCCGCCGGGAGGCCCTGGGGCGCAGCCGCAGGGGCCTCCAGGGCCCGCCTGGGGCGCCAAGCCGAACGGATACGGGGCAACCGCACCTGGACCTGCCCAGACACGACCGCGTCGCGCAACAAAAAATCAGGACGGGAGGTTTTTGGCCGTTTTCGGCCACGGAGGGCCTTCGCTGGGCCTCGGGACCGTCCAAAAAAGACTCATGATGAAAAGACGGTCCTGGGGAAAGGGTCGGGACTTCCAGGGGCCCCGCATTGAAAAAATCTGGGCGCCGCATGCCTGGGTAAGGCGCAGCCAGGACAAGGACAAAATCGGACAGGGATGAACCGGACACCTCTGAAACCTGGCGGTTCTGGGGGATGTGTTGGGCGCCGCGGCCTTCTCAGAGCGTTCCGGAACGCTCCGAGAGCGTTCTGGAACGCTCTGGAAGGATTCTATTGGAGACCTGGAAATGGGCACCAACACCAACAAAGGGGGGTTGCCTCCACAGGTGGGAAGAAGCTCCTAGATTTCGGTGTTGGTGGTAATATTTCGGTCACCTTGGAAGCCAGAATATTAACACCATCACCGAGATCGGGATCTTCGTCCCTCGGTGGAGGCACAACGCCGATATTGGTGTTGGTGTCAACCTCTGGGTCTGCGATTCTAGCCTTGTCCCAGCCCTCGCCCGATGCACCCTTCCCCTGCAGGGCAGATTTCTGAAACGCCAGCGGGGCCTCGGCATTCGAAGGATCTCTGCAGCCAGGCGAGCCCAGTGACGGACGCCTCCCAAATGGGGCCAGCGCAGACGCGTCGGAGGATCGCACCCAGTCGCCGGCTGCATCGCCGATGCATCGGCGACGTCTGGGGAAAATCGGGCTCCACGTCGACCCGCCTCGCCGATGCCTCGCCGAAGTCGGCCCGATCCCCCGCCCCCATCTGCTCGGGGAGCCCACGGGATGCCCGGAGGTGGGGTGTCTGACACCCTGGCGTCGACCGGGCCCGCAGAGGAGGAGGAGGAGGAGGAGGAGGAGGAGGAGGAGAGGCTAAGGAGGAGGAGGGAAGAGGAGGAGGCGGAGGAGGAGGAGGAGAGGAGGAGGAGGAGGAGGAGGAGGAGGAGGAGGAGGAGGGAGGAGGGAGGAGGGAGGAGGGAGGAGGGAGGAGGGAGGAGGAGGAGGCGTGAGGTCCGCAGCTGCTCTCAAGGCACCGGGGCGGCCAGGGCCGCCGCCGCCCCACCGGGCGGCGCCGCCTCTCGACCAGCAGGGCGGCGGCCCGACGGGTTGGAGTGCCACCCCCGCAGCCGCGGAAACTGGCAGTGTGCACCAGACCCAGACCCCCTCGCGTCGTGAAAAAATCATGACGGGAGGTTTTTCGCCATTTTCGGCCCCTGGGGGCCCTCACCGGGCCTCGGGACCGTCAAAAAACGACTCAGGACGAAAAACCGGTCCCGGGGAAAGGGTCGGGACCTCTGGGGGTCGACGTCATGAAAAATTCATGACGTCGGGGGTCTGGGGACGACGTCGGGCTCCAGCCTCGCCTCCCGCACCCCGCTGAGGAGCGACAGGGCCAGCTGCCACTGCCCGCCCTTCTCGCACGCGCTGATCCCGGCGCTGCAGCTGACGACGCTGGGCTCCGCCTGCGACTCCCACAGCTCGCTGAGCAGCGACAGTGCCCGTCGCCACTGCCCCCCTCTTTTGCATGCGCCGGCAGCCGCAAGGTAGTGGCCCGAGGAGACTTCCACCCCCGATTCGACTCCTTCTCGGAGCATCTGCAGAGCCGCGCTCCAGTGCCTCGTCCGGCCGCACTTCTCGATCGCCACGAGGCGAACGGCATCCTCTCCAGACCTGCGGTGGGCCGCCAACATCAGAACAGGTCCGGCACCACAACGGCTCCATCCTGGTGCTGCTTCTGCAGAGCCGCTGTTGGCCCAAAGCCAAGCGAGCGGGCCTGGCACGGTGATCGGCCGCTGCGAGGAGGCGAGGCGTGATCTGCGCGGACGCGGCAAGTGCCCCGAGGCTCGGGGTGGGGCGCACCTAGGGCGCCCGAAGGCTTCTAAGGCGCTCCAAGGGCGCTCCGAGACACTCTCAGGGCCTTCCCAGGGCGCTCAAGACATGCAACAACGGCCTGAGGAATGGACTCGCGGGAGCCCAAAAGGCACGAAGTGGCTTACAGCTGGCCTCGGACATCCAGGGACTGGGACACGTTGCGCCTGATCTCCCGCCCCCTCATATCTCACCCCCCGCGGGCGTAGCCTTAGGTCGGGCATGTCCCCCTACAGGTGGACTTTGGGCGAGAAAAGAATAAACGAGTCAAAACATGCCCCAACATAATCAAAAAACGTACTAAAAAATCGTCCCCATTGTATTTTTTCTGTTTTTGAATACTCCTCCTGTCGAGGGACCTAAGCGCAGCCCCTTCCCCCCTGCGAGCCCAGCTCGTGGCCGCGTGCAGTCATCGCGCGGCCACGGCTAGCGTTGGCCAAGGGACGGACTCCCCGCCCAAGGCAAAGGAGCGGCCCAGACACGGAACCCCTCGTGAACCCCCAGCGGTCCTGACTCCATCGTCTTGACTGCAACCGCCCAGAAGATTGGCGAATTCAGCTGTGGGAGAAAAAGAGCGCGGCAACCAAATCCGGGCCCGTGCTGTCTTGAGATGTGGCTTCCCCCGCGTCTCCGTGGCTGCCAGGGCGCCCGAGAAGACTGCAGCCGTGGATCGAGACGTTCTCCAGCATCACAAGCGGCGGGCGCATCCATAACTACCTCCCCGCGGTCTGGATTCCAGGGCGCGACCCCTCGGATACGCGGGTCGCACGGACATGTTTTGCGCGGGCATCGTTGCCCGACGCCCGCGGGAGCGCGGCCCGGAGGCCCAGGCCCGCGAGGCCGCGGCTGCGAATCTGTTGTCGGCTGTCCGCCCACGACCTTGCTCGTCCTCCACACCAGTCGGCCCGAGGAACCACGGAGATATCACGAGCACGAATTATTCCTACGGTAGTAGAGGCCTCCTAGATGGGGTCGGAGTCGACGTGATCGGAGGAGCGCGCTGCATCGCCGATACATCGGCGATGCATCGGCGATGCATCGGCGATGCGCCGGCGATGCATCGACGACGTCAGCGTTGCATGGGCGACGTCGGTGCGGGGAAACGCGGGCTCTACATCGAGCCGCATCGTCGATGCATCGGCGATGCGGCGCGATCCTCCGCCCCCATCTACTCGGACCCCAAATAGGAGGCCTAGAGGTAGGGCCCCGCAACAAAAAATAGGTTTAGTTTGCCCGTCGCGTTTTCCTCATCGCCCGGGCGGAGTACTCTGCCTCCTCCTCCCCCTCCTTTTCCTCCTTGTCCTCCTTTTCCTCCTGCTTCTCCTCCTTCTGCTCCTCCCCCTCCTCCTTTCCTCCTCTCCCCCTCCTCCCCCCTCCCCTCCTCTCCTCCTCCTCTCCTCTCCTCCCTCCTCTCCTCCTCTCCTCCTCCTCCTCCTCCTTTCCTCTCCTCCTCCTTATTTTCCCCTCCTGCTCTCCTCCTCCTCCTCCTCCTCCTCCTCCTCCTCCTCCTCTCCTCCTCCTCCTCTCCTCCTCCTCCTCCTCCTCCTCCTGACCTTATTTTCCCTCCTCCTCGTCCTCCTTCTTTTCCTCCTCCTCCTCGTCCGTTTTCTCTTTCCCCTCCTCGTCCTCCTCCTCCTCATCATCCTCTTTCCCTCTCCGTAATCTCCTCCAGCCTCCTTCGTTGCCCTGGCCTCTCCATCATGTTCCCCCCGCTCTCGCCACCTCTGGCATATTTATGTCAAGGGCGCGCGCATCGATTCTCCGTGGCCAGGGCGCGCGCGCCGTTATCCAACACGGGCGCGCTCTCCGTCGGCCACACCGCAAACCCGCCGGGGCAACCGCGCGGGCGGGACCGTCGGGACCCGCCGGGGACCCGCGGGGCTCTAGCCGGGCGCCGCTGCGCCCAGGCGAAAAGCAGCGCGAAGCCCAGCTCTGCTGCGAGCTGCTCCGCCTCAGCCCGGGAGCTCACCGCTGTCTCGTGGCAGTGCCGGAGCGCCTTCCGCAAGGGCGCCAGCGGCCCGCGCTCCAGAAACTCGCGCGAGGGCGGCCGCACGATCGGCCCGTTCTGCACGCGCCAGGCGCGGGAGCACGTGACGTAGAGGCGCAACCGCCACTGCTGGTCGGACTGACGTGCCCGTGCGACAGGCGCCCTCGTCCCTAGCGCAGTCGATGGTGACTCCCTTGCGCAGCGTCGGACCCTGCGACAGCGTGGAGGTCAGGTAGCACGCGCGCGCCAGGATGAGCCCCGAGCGGCACGCGACGTGCGGTCCCGGGCTCTGCCCTGTGACCTCCTGCTCGCTGGGCCCGAACACGAGCACGCTCCTCGCCCGCGCCCTTGGTCTCGCCGTCGTCGTCGGCACCTTCGGCGCCCTGTGGCAACAGCTCGGCGACCTCCTGGTAGATCGGGGACTCTACGAAGCCGCGCACCTGCATCCAGATCCCTTGCGGTGGGAAATTGGGGAGAAAGAGCTGCCCAATCTCGCGTTCCTCGTGCCGCTGCTCGTCTTTTGGGCGAAGCTCGACAGACAACGGTCGCCCGTTGCTCCTGTGCGAACCCCAATTTCTTTTTCAGTTCCTCCTGCACGGCCGTGAACCGAGCCTCCATGCCGACGTGCGTTGGGAAGACCACCCGCGCCCCGAAGACAGTGGCTCCCCCCTGTCCCCGATTCGGCCGCCGATCGGTTACAACCGGCGGCCCAGAGACAAAGGTTCCCCTTTCCCACGGATTCGACCGACGATGTGCTACCACCGCGGGCCCACACACAAAAGTTTCCCTTTGCCCCCGACCGTCGTCGTCGTCCTCTTGGATTCCTGTTCCTTCTCTTCCTCGTCCTCTGATGGCTTGACGGTGTGGCCCGTGAGGGCCCGTAGCATGCAAGCCTTTTGTCGCCACCCGCTCCCCGAAACATATGCTTTCTGCTACTTGGGCCCTTTGGAAACGTAGGCCTCCTGGGAACTCGTGCGGCTTCTGATGCATTCCGAGGGTTTCCACTCGAGACTTCCTCGCCAATCAATCACAGACGACGCTCCCGCTCAAACCTTCTTCCAAATTCAGGCCTCACGACCCCCACAAGAACGACAGTTACAAGTTTGAGGATCGCCGTCCCGGACTCATAACATTCAATGCGGTCCCCATAAGCAGGGGGCTCCCGCTCGAAGCTTCCCCGCCATTCCTTCGCAATCGAGACTCCCGCTCAGGACTTCCTTGAGAGTCAGGCCTCAAGATCTCAAAAGTGAGGGCAATTAGGAGGAGGAGGCGGAGGAGGAGGAGGGGGACGAGGAGGAGGAGGAGGAGGAGGAGGAGGAGGAGGAGGAGGAGGAGGGGGAGGAGGAGGAGGAGGAGGAGGAGGAGGAGGAGGAGGAGGAGAAGTCACTGATTAGTAACATGAAATGCGGGCCCCGTAGGGAGGGGGCTCCCGCTCGACTTCCTCGCCCTTCGCTCACAGAAGGCGCCCCCGATCGAGACGTCCTCAAGGTTCGGGCCTCAAGAATCCAACAGTGACGACAACTACAGGTTTGAGGAGGGCCGCCTCGGACTGGTAACATGCACAGCGGGGCCCACAGGGAGGGTGTTCCCGCTCGAGAGATCGTCGCCATCCACTCACGGACAGAGCTCCCGCTCAAGACTTCCTGATGGTGATGAGGAGGAGGATGATGCTGATGCTGATGCTGATGCTGATGCTGATGCTGATGATGATGATGATGATGATGATGATGATGATGATGATGATGATGATGCTACCGATGGCGATGACGATGATGATGCTGCTGGTGATGATGATAATGCTGATGATTATCATCATCATGATGATGATGAATCTGATTAAGGTGGCGATGATGATGCTGATGATGATGCTGCTGATGATGATGATGCTAACTAATGATGAGGCTGATTATGGTGATGATGATTGTGATGACGATGATGCCGAACAGTGAGATGGAGATGATGCTGATGCTGCTGATGCTGGTGTTGCTGATTGTTCATGACGATGCTGACGATTACGATGCTGATGATGGTGCTGCTGATGTTGCTGATGATGAGGGTGATGGGTATGATACGGTGATGATGCTGCTGCTGATGATGGTGAGGACGATGAAGATGGTGCAGCTGCTGATGCTGACGATGATGCTGACGATGATGATGGTGCTGCTGCTGATGCGGCGAATGCGCTGACGATGATGATGCTGATACGGTGGGTATGAATCTAATGCAGACGATGATGATGGTGCTGCTGCTGAAGATGATGGTGAGGACGATGATGGGGCTGCTGATGTTGATGCTGATGCTGGTGATGATAGCAATGACGATGATAATGATGATGCTGATGGTGATGATGATGCTGATTATGGTGATGATGGTAAAGATGATGATGGTGATGATGATGCTGATGATGATGGTGATGATAATGATGAGGCTGCTGATGATGATGGTGATAAGGATGCTGCTGCTGACGATGATGATGAGGAGGATGATGCTGGTGCTGCTGATGGTGCCGCTGATGCTGCAAATGCTGATACTGATGGTGTGTGATGGTGTGCGTGTGTGCTTGTATGTGCGTGTGTGTGTTCCTCTGTTGTTGGTTGCTGCGCGGGATATTGAGAGAAACCAAGAACCTCATTTAGGAGGGCCCAAATGCCGATCCTAGAAATCCGCGCGGAGCTCCGATAGTTTATCTGTATGCCGTGCGTCCTATTTCGAACATCCCACCGTGGAGAGCCCCCCCCACACACACGAAAAACATCAGGGTAATCCTCTGGGGCTGAGGCTGGCCTGGACCCTCGCGCCACCTGTGCTCTTGCTGCCTGTTGCGCGCTGGTGACA